ACAGTTCCCCTTTGGAGTCCTCTTCATGCTTTTCAATAAAGACCTTTCTTTTTAGTGTCTTCCCTTGTGAATACAAGGAGAAGGACCTAGTATCCAAGTCAAGTTCAGCTCTCCCATCTTTCCTGAAAGTCATCCCTCTAGTAGCAGTCAACATTCAGAAAAACTATCTTTGCCTCCTCCCTGCCCCCGCAGAAAGTCTGTATTTGGTTTAGACATCTACTCTCTTCCTGAAAGGCATATGCTTTGGGAAAGGTTGTTCCACCTCCAGTCTTAGAAAGTAGATTCTGGGTAGTTTACTCAGTGGTGGCAAATCCAATTTGCTAACTAGTGACCGATTTATGCATTGGTTTGTGATACATATTTGGGCCAAAGCTATGTCAATAAAATTATTCTCTATGTATTAGGAAAGGTTTCCTTGTTCTTACAGAAAGACAAGAGAAAAATATTTCTTTCCCGCTATGAATATTGTCATCTTTTGAGTGATCCTTTTGATTAGGGATGGGCCAACGTGTGGACGAAGAGCAGAGCTTAGAGAATTCCAGAAAGACTAGGGTTCAGACTCTTTTTCTTGGGGGGGGGGAGGTAAAGATCCAGATAATAAATGTTTTAAGTTTGTGAGTCAAATGATCATGTCACAACTACTCATTTCTCCTTTTGCAGCACAAAAACAGTCATAGGTAATACCCGAATGGCATTATCTGTGCTCCAGTAAAATTTTATTCACAAAAAGATGGCAGATTGTGTTTAAACTGTGGGCTGTTCTTTGCTGAGTCCTGAAGTAGAACTCAGCTTGGTATGTGTTTAGAGTGCCCATATGTTTTTATTTCTTTATATGCAACCACATACCATTTCTAATTTTTTAAGGCAGGTGCATCTGTGGGTTTTGTTCCTTGAAGCCGGAACATCTTCCAAATCCTGGACATTAAGATCCATCACCTGTACTGTGAATACTGCTTGTGTTGCAAAAGAAAGCTCTGGGAAGTGTGTCATTGTCTTTCTTATTTAATTTACCTAAGCTTCTAATGACTCAAGTCTTAGAACTGATCAGCTACAAGCAGAACTCTAGGTTGGCAGGAGATTAGTTATTTTGGAGCAAAGGAAGCCTTGCGGAATCCCTAAATGTCACTGCGTTTGAAGAAGCTCATCTCTCTCATTCAGCTGGGCAGAGTGTGCTTTGCTGGTGTATCTTTTGGTTGGTATTTTGAAGATTGCTACCATCCTGGATGTATATGTTCTTCACCCTGCTTATAAATAACCTAGATATGATGGTATCATCACCTCGTATCAGTGTTTCTTCTGCACAGGAGATCTGAAAAAGTGAATGCAAATGAGAGAAATGGAGAAAATGCTTTTATGTGCAATCCCTTGGAAGACACATCGTTAAGATGCTGATTTAGTTCTTTGCTCTGGCTATTCAGTTTTCGTGGACATAGTGTATTCCAAAAAGTTATGAGTAAGTAGAGTTAGTGTCCGCTTGAATCATGCCTTTATATGTAAGTTTTCAGGTTTTATCATGCCCTTAATGGTAATGTGACCTATAAAGTTATAGCCAGCAGGTTCTGTGAGGACAGGATAATCAGAAAAAAATTCTTTGAAAATTGCTAGTATATTTTGTCACAGCTGTCTATGAGGCCCAATAAAAGTACACACACATTGCAGCATATGTACTTGTGCAGTGAAATTCAGAATTAATTTCTATTTCATCTAAAACCTTACTGTTGATTTCTTTGCTTGTTCCTTCTAGAAACTTTTACAGTTCTGAATTGACCAAATAGCACCAATAATATTAGTCTAGTGTGTGACTCAGAAATACAGAAACAAAAACCAATCAGGTGCTAGCCAATACTTGCTACCATATTTAAATTTGTCTTGAAATCTATTTGATGAATATAACTTAATAAATCTGAGTTTGTCCTGTATATTACTCTGTTTTTAGAATCGTTGATAGTGCCTGTGCTTATCTAGTGTAGTTTGTTTTTACCTAAGCCTTTCTTTCTGTCTCTAGCAGTTCAATATAGCTGCTTAAAAATATCTTTTATATCTATATGTCATGCTTAAATATTCCTCTAATTCATCAACATCTGAACATTTGGAAGACAGTTACAACTTTTAGTGCATTTCTCTAATATTTTTGTAATCATTTGCCATTTCTGGGTCTGTTTGTATTAATTAGGTTTTTTTCTTCACTATGAGTTATATTTTCCTCTTCTTATGCTGAAGCCTAAAACTTTTCTCCACCCCCGACTCTGGGCAATCATTGGCCTCAGTCACTTTTATTTTTCACTCTCAGAAACCATATCTGGTGCTGCCTCTGTAAGTGTGGGAAAATCTTACTTCATACATTTTATATAGGGTTTTCTGTGAAGTTATTTTAAGTGAAAGGTTACATTTGCATCCTATTATTTTATTTAGGCTCAAAGCCAATGTTTATTTTTTATAACACTATTTGAATTGTTCTAAATCACTGGTCTGATTTTTTTCATGTTTTCAATTGAAAATCTTTAGTGATAATTTCCTACCTTCAATTCAAAGTTCTGATCTTTAGTAGAGCAGCTGAAGCCCTTTATATTATGTTTCATTCAATCTTGATTTGGGACCATTAATTTTTTCCTTCCCTGTCCCACCCTGCCCCACCTCCTACCTGTATGTGCACCTTTCCATTAAATGCAATTCCTGGAATACACCACCCCTATTGTTTGATCATGTTTTTGTTTGTTTTTCCTGTGTGCATACCGCTTTCTCTTCTCAGGCTGATGAAATCTTAACCTACTCCACAAGTCCTAGTTCAAACATGAGCTCCTCTCCAAGGGTTTTCCAACCACTGCCTTGGCAAGATTTTCCTCACCAGGGTATTTCTGATCCTTACAGAGTTAACACTTAGAAATTGTATTTTGCAAATAACACACAGTAAATATGTGACTTTTAAGAACTTAAAGATTTGCACAAAATTAGACTAGATTATTACCATTGTTTCATGGATATGGCAATAGTAAGGAGATAGGACTTGCCAAATCATGCAGTAGATTCTCTAATTATTTAAGAAAAGGTCAGACTGGGACAAAGGCAGTGTCATGTGTTTTTCCTCTGTTGGAGCAGGGTCCCAAAGAGGACAGGATGACTCTGAGGTTGATACACACAGCATCTCTGTTTCTGATGGGAAACAAATGTAGATCACACATACCTATAGTCCTTGACCTAACATTGGGTAACTTTCGAGAATCAGTAACCACATCTGGTAACTTTTATGTTTGTCATATAATTTTGGAGAAAAGGACAAACTAGATTTCTAAGAGGATAAGGTTTTTTTTTTTCTAGAACGTGACAATTCTTGGATGTATCACTGTTGACATTTTTGTCTTTTAAAGAAGTGTTCCATTTTAAATATAATCATATACTTCAAACAAAACACTTGGTCTAAATTAGTTTTCTTCAGAGCATATCTGGTTTTGCGTAAGAAGCTGAGGAAATGTATTATTTGAAGTCACACACAAATATTTGGCTTTAATTTTAATTTTTTGGACCCAAAAGGAAAAGACAACAGTCTTTGTGTTTTCTAAAAAGAATACTTCATGGCTCACAGTTTGTGACAGGGTGAACTAAAGTGAGTCAATATGAAAACTCTGGTAATGCCTTTTGGAAATCCCAACAGATTAGACTCCTCAGTATAGTGCGATAAAAATTCCGATAATCAATCAAACCATCATCATGCATGAAAATGCACACAAGGAAGCTGTCATTGACAATTAAGTGATAATGATCTCATAGAAAAATACAGTGATCTTATAAATGATCTTATAAAAAAACAGTGGCATAAAAAGAACCTGTTGTCAAAATGAGCTTTTCAAAAAGCAGAAGCTGTTTCATCATCACAATTTTAAGCAGTTATTATTAGGCCAATTTAAAGCAAGTTAATAAGTGTTTGGAATTAAATATATGATATATTTGTATCCAGAGCAGTATTGTGAAGACAGGTAATTTTCCCTACTGGGAATTGAATGCGTTCTATCAGATGACAATGATACACTTCCTACATTGCATCTGCCAACTGGGACACAGATGTGAGAACTCTAGGAGCCGGACATTACTTGAAGCCGTCCCTAAGAGCAAGGCATGTGCTTGAAGGTGGGCCCTAGAAGCAGGGCATTCGCTTGAGGGTGGCCTGTTGCCAAGCCTAAGGCCCATCCTTTGAAACTGTATAGCTGTCATTTACTTCAGTTTCTAGAGGTACTTGCAACTTCACAGTGACATTCTCCTTCTCTCCAGCCTTTCCTGTATTCCTAGACTACTGTATTGTTATTGACCCTTAAAAAACACAAAACAAACAAACAAACAAACAAACACAAAACCCCCTATAAAAACTCCAGAAAAAAATACAATAAAGGGTAAAAAATGACACCGAAGAAGCAAATACATGGACTAAAGGTCAGTCTTTCTAGCATTGTTTATAACTGTAAACACCAGACTTTGCTCTAAGAATTAGGGAGAATTAGAAGTATAATTCCATATTTTCAAAATAAGCTCCTGCAATGTATCCTCTTCTGGGGACACATTTTTTGTCACTGGTTCAGCTTAATCATTTATGCCAAAAATCACAATTTGAGCATTCCTAAAATGGAGCACTAGGCATTAAAAAGTTGAGTTGGTTTTGTGGCTGAAAGCTGGTGATGACTGTGTCTGTGTCAATTTGATATGTCCACAGAAACTCAGAAGGGTTTGCTACTGAGCCCCAATCTTTGGCCCCACAGTGTCCCATACAAAACACAATTAACCATCACAGAATGGGGATGGGTTTGGTAACTCTTCTTATTAAATTCTCCTTAAAGAAGTATCTGATTTACTGTATGGAGGTACAATGGAAGGGGGAGAAGAGTGAAATTACCATCTGGTCAGTGGAGCTGGCCATTTACTAATGCATTTCTATAGAGGTAAGCAGATGTTACAGGTAAGATGGAGCTATTGACTATTACTCATTTACCCACTTGATCTTTTCTTTATTACAGATACGAGTAGTGGCTCCCTGAAAGGATCATCAACCCATGGCCATGTTATATGCAGGGAAATCGTATTCCCAAAGAGGCAAAATGTGGAACTCCACAAGGAAAGGACGAATCTAAGTCAGTGACCTTGGGCATTGTTTTTTAAACCTTTCTGTGCCTCAGTTTCTGCATCTGCCAAACTGAAATCATAGAATTTCTCCGATAGGATGTTTTGAGAACTATGTCCAATCACCTTTTCTTGAACCAGTGCAGTGTGTAGGAAACACATATAGTAAATGATAAATAATGTAGTAAACAATAAGTGCAAACTCTCGTTGTGATTGTCAGTTTTTGCATCTGCTGCTTTTCTCCATCAGTTGTTAATTCTTGGTTGGTCTTTGAAGCAGTCTTTGAAATTCCTACACCCAGGATTTTAGCCAGTTTACCTTTCATTCCGTTTCCAGGTCAATGGAACACATGTCTAAGACTTATTCTCTTGTTCTAAAAGATTGGATTTTAAAAAAATTATTATTATTTTGAAGGTAGTAAAATAACAACAGAACAAGACAGAACAAAGCCAACTGAGACACTGTAGTGAAATTGGTATAGAACTCCACAGTAGGTTACCAGGGTAACAGTAGTATGTACCATAGTATATCTCATTATCTTCACAATAGTCACAATAGTTATTCTTTCAATTAGGTATAGCAAAATCAAATGAAATACAGATCATTATAGAACTTATCAAAACAGAATATTGAATAGAGCAATACAATTACTCAGAACAAAGCAAAACAGTGGTAACAATATTTGCCTTCAAAGAGATGGTAGAAGGAAATCCTTCCTATTTGCTATATTGCATGTGGTCAGTCTCCCAAAAGATGCTCAGACCTCTGGCTCCCATTTGCTAACAGTGGGGGTGGGGGTGGGGATGGGATGTTTAATTCTCAGGTGCTTACCAGGGAAGCAAGCTGATTGCTTTGTTTTCCAGCATCTCAAGTTCCAACATGGTGTGAATCTCATCTTGGGAGATGCTGGCTGGTTCTCTCCCTGCCGCGGCCACAGCTTGCCCAAGCCATAGCTGCTTACCAGGGAGGCATGCCAGTTGCTTGGTTTCCCAGCACCCTAAGTTCCAACATGGCATGGATTTTGGGATAAAAGATTGAATTTGGAAAATAAAGAATTTAACATCTTTGTTTGGTGCTGAAAATAGCACTATTTTTTCATTTGTAATTTACTACTACTGCCCTGTGGGCCCTTTCAGCCTAGCACAAACACACTTTTTACTCAATTCACCAAATTCTGCACTTCTCCATCTTCTTACTTTGCTCAGAGTGAACTGTCTGCCTATGTCACCTTCATTCTGCTCACTCTTGTTTTGCCAGATTTACTTTTTTGAAGATTAGTTCTCAAAGTGTGGTCCTTGGAGACTTCTTTAACCACTTCCATGGCTCCATAGGCGATAATATGCCTTCTTTTTACCTTCCACAGGTAAGATGCATTATCTGAACAACTCTTTACTTTTTGTTTTTTATTTTAGTTATTTAAACACCTTTATTATTCAGTAATTCAGAGTGAATTTTTACTTAATAGAAGTTTAAACTCCTTTCACATCCACAGAGATGTGTCTAAAATTAGTGATTCAGACACACACACACACACACACACACACACACACACACACTGAGTGAATGAATAACTCCTCTTGAACATATGGGCTCATTAAGGAGTTTTCATGTGGTAGATAAATAATCTAAAAGTGCTTAACATAACTTGATAAAAGGAATAATGCAGAGAATTATTCTATTTTCAATTAGCATTATTAATAGGTAACATAGTAAAGCATTTCTGACTTGTTCTATAAAGAGCTAATTTTGGACTTGTAGATATCATAGCATTTTTGAGTTTGCTTAGAGGCACCCATCTGATTCTCTGTGGCAAGGGAAAGGGGCTAATCCAAAATGCAGATCAAGGTATTCACAGCACTGACAGCGAGCTCTGTACTCTTGGGCTTGTATTATTTTGCTTTCAGTTGTTCTAAAGTAATCTCTTTGTGGTTTAAGAGGAGTAATCAGAGACTTTGATTAAAATCTCTTTGAAATTTTAACATAATTTCCAAAGGGAAAAAATATTTCCCATTATAAGCAGGTTATAATTAGCATAATGGCACATCTTGAAGAATGAGACAATTTAGGCTGCAGAATATTCGTGAAACCTAAAATAAGAACCATCGGGAACATGGGAAGCAGTGGGATTGGAAGGCATTCACCCACTCACATACCACTGCACACACTGCCACTCACTGTGTACTCCAGTGCAGTCTTTTTGTCTGATACAAGAGTAAACTTCCTGTTGTTAGGTAGGCTTTCATGGAAATAATTCCTGAGTAGTGCTCAGTGGGCGCTGGGTAAAGATTTAAGTGACATAGAACTTAGCAGTAATTTATCCCAGTGTATTTTGAATATAAAAAAAGAAGAAAACAATTATGCAAATTTCTACTTGGGAAATAGCATCTTATTTCAAGCTTCTGGAAAAATGCACGACCTTTGACAATAATCTCAAACTTAAGCAACAAAAAAAAGTTGCTTACTAAGCAGGTTTGCTGGATTCACGAGAGATGTAATACAGCTCTTCTACATTTTTTCAGCTACTCTACATTTAAATCCCTTTTCCCTTCTTTTTAATAAAATAATCACTTTCAAGTTTCCTGCAGGAAGCTAGCATTACATTCTGAAAAATAGTCTTGACTCTTAACGTGGGTAAATAATGGAACTGATTGCAAACGTTTCAGTCAATCTACCACCAGGCATATGCTTTAAATTCATTATGTCTCAGTGGAAGAATAGTCTGCCTCACAGTGGTAGTGTTTTAATAGAATGAGAAGTGGAATTGCAGATTTTTTTCTTTATAATCCTACAGTATTCTTTTCCATAGTGAATTTTTAAAGGTCATTAAATTTTAATATGAATCATTTTTAGTTATGATCCTTTATAAAATTATCCTGCCACCAAAGTTTGTAGTCTGTAACTTTTTTTTTTTACTAGCAATCAAACTCACAACCTTATACTTGCCAGGCAGGCACTGTGCTGCTAAGCTATATCTCTGACTGTGACTTATTTTCTACAAGATTTTATTCTATTTTCCTCCCTCCTTACTGCTATTTTTATATGTTTATTGCAAAAAAAAGAATGTGAGAAATTCATATAGTCTTAAACACAAAAATTTTCAAACAACATACATTTTTCTCCTTTAAAAACATTTATTATTCAACAAAGTTTAAAGCAATAAGGTCAGACATAAAAATCCTGTTGGTTGAATTTCTATTACACATACCAAGAAGAAGGCAGGCATTTGAACTGAGGAAAACTTTCTGGCTTCATAAAATCTGATCATTTAGAAGTTAGGAGCAGCCTTTTCTTCCTTGTGCATAAGCATAGACTGTTATGAACCATATGTAGGATGATGCTGATGGTCATACAGCAGCATATATAAACCCCACACACCATTATGAAAAATTTAGATTTTTTTTTTGTTATTTTTTTGAGATAGGATCTTGCTCTATAATTTGCATTGGCTTGAGCTCACTGGGTAGCCCAGGCTGGCCTTGAACCTGTGACAGTCCTCCTGTTTCAGCCTCCCAAATGCTGGGATTACAGGCCTGTAGCACCATGCCCCACATTGACCTGGCAGTTAAAAGCCTAAATTGCCAACAGCTGCTATAGTAATTGTCACTTGCACCAAATCTCAGCAGGTGAAAAGTTGCAGTAGAAGGGACTAAACAAATTAACTCCAGTTTGATTGTCTTTCTCATCTCCTGTTTCTGTGAATTCTTTTCAGTTTCTGAATAAAAAAAGTAAGTGAAGAAAATACCACTCTTAACTGAAAACCAGAGAATCTTCATAAGTGACTAAATTGTAATAATTTATCTTCTTGTTGGATAGAGTGCACTATCCATTCTATCTAGCTTGGAACTAGAAGCAAAGGAGATGCAGATCTCTAATATCCACAGTCAGGTGATGTCTACAGCGGAACACTTGGCCTTCAGCACTGCCTGTTCCCACCACTGCGTGTATCAGACCACAGTATTAAATTCATCCTTTGACCCCAACTGTATTGGTGGTCTTTCCAATTAAATGTTTCTTGCCCACTTATGTCAAGATGACAACAAAACAATCAAGCAACTGTGAGAAATTATGGGTCACTGTCTGTTTCTTATCCATCCTGTTAAGAAGACAGAATTAGAAAAGCCATTTGTACATTTCTCCTTTAAAAATGTTTCCTGTCTGACAAAAAGTTTTATTTTATTAAAGACAGTTTTTTCAAGAATACTAATTGTGTTTTTTTTTTTCCTTGCTATTTCAGTGACAGAAGAATATTTTGTGGTCGTATTTTCTGTCAAGACAGAGAAATCAATGGAAACTGCAGACTGGCTGTAAAATGCTCTGGAACAACTGTTACAAAGAACCAAGAGATCAAGGGAAGAAAACTGAGGATACCATATATTGCAAACCTTTTTTTTTTAAAGATACGGATGAAATCTTTTTCAAGGACTAGAATAAACCTGTCCCCTTAACAGTCAATTTATTTTAATTAGTCCTCAAATGGTCTTTCCTTCCCTTTCTTTTTCAGCTATTAGTATTAATACTATTCAGAATGAAATAAAGGCCTTTAATAATGACAGTATTTCTTACTTTGATACATTGCACAATCACCCTTAATGAATGATTACACCATAGCAAGTGATGTGATTGGTTTAAACAGTATTTGAACAGCATGACTACAACTTTTCTAGGGAAAGAACGAAATCAGCTTACTGTGTCTCCCAAGAAAATGGGAAAACATTTATCTTTCTCATTCTCTCTTCCTTGTCCTTGTCTTTGTCCTTATCCTCCAAAATATATGCATGGTAGTAGTTGCTGTATAGAGTGAAGCAGTCTTTCAAAACATGAGAGGAAAGCAAAGTGACAGCTGACCACCTGAAACTGGTGGGTCTCGAAACATCCTCAGCTACCTATTCCTTCAGAGAGAAGTCAGTGACAGTGAGTATAAGTAGTTCAAAGATGTCCCACAATCACCTTTCTTACCTTTGCAGCTCTAGGCAAGAGACCGTTTTGTGGCGATTTCTGCCTCAACATAGTTAAATATCAGTAAGTGCCACTTATGTGCATGACTACTTTCCAAAAGCACTAAAACTGTGGAAATTTTTCAGACTTTATGTAAGTTACATGATCACTCTCACCTTAAGACATTCTGATCTTCAAGTGAGTTGTCCTCTGAGCCAGTGAATAGGCTAAATGTAACTTTAGAGACTGTCCGAGACTTACATATGTAGAGATGATAATCAAGCACAGAAACAAATTTTGACTCATGCAGCAATCTAGTTGTGACTCTAGTCTTGATAGAGAGAGCTAGAGCGAGCAGATTAGAGAACACACATTTGTGTGCTTCCTGCCTTTTGCCAAGTGATGTTCTGTGCTGCCTAGGACTCCGCCAGCAGGAAGGCCATCACTAGATGTGGCTTTTCATTTTGGAACAGAACCATAAATCAAAATAAATCAGTTTTCCTTATAACTTAGTCTGTGTATTGTGTTACCAGCAACAGAAAACAGAAAGAAGACTAATATAGTACATTTATACTAAAGGTATATATATATAGTCAATGGTCATGCTCAAATAGAGTACACAAGAGTAATACAAGGTTGATTGTTAGTGGAAAATCTATGTAATTCATCACTAACAGACAAAAATATAATTATTGCAATACATTAAAACCAATTGACACGTTCAACATCTGTTCATGATAAAGGGTGTCAGAAAACTGTTAGTGAAAGAAAACTTTCTCAACCTATAAATCTCAGCATGAAAAACCTATAAAATATCACACATAATGAAAAAGGTTGTTTTTTTTCCCTCAGATCAGAAGCAAGGCAAAGCTGTCATTACTGCTTTAATTCAGCATTATCCTGGAGAACACTACAACTGGGGAAGAAAAATATATAAAAAGTGAGAAGGAAATAAAATCTGTATTAATGAATTGATTTTGTCTATAAAATCTTTGAGGTAACTAATTGGTAAGTTTAGCAAAACTGCATGCTACAATTACTCATATTATAAAAATGTCCATTTGCCTTAAATCAGTGTATGCATTCAACCTGGCTCTTTGTGATGATGTTGAAATTAACAACATAATTCTAACATTTACATGGAAGGTTAAGGATCCAGTAAAGGACAAAGTTGGAAAATTCACATTATCTGATTTCAAAATCTATTATAAGTATATAGTAAATAAGACTGATATAGATTAAGGTCAGAGAAATGGATGGAACCAAACAAAGTCCATAAATAAACCCAAATTTCTACAATTAATTGAAATTTTACAAATATTCTAACCTGTTCAATCAGGTAAAATGTTTTCAACAAATATGTAGAAAAACTAGCTATTTGAATGGAAAATAAATAATACTCCCTTTTCATATCATAAGCAGATTTCAGTTAAAAATAAGGAAGACACTGGTTGATAGATGCTATTCACAAAATGTATGCCTGAAAAAGATCTTATTCAGACTGTATAAAGAATTCCTTTGACTCAATAATAAAAAAGACAACACAATTTAAAATTGAGTAAAAGGTTGGAAAGGACACTTTAGAAAGGAAACTAAATGCAGTGCCTAACAGGAACAAGTCATCAGTGCAATTAGTTGTCAGGGAAATGGAGAGCAAAGCCACAGTGAGATATTACTGCATGTACCAGATTGGTTGAAATTAAATCAAATGAAGTACAGCAAATCTTATTGATAATATTAAACCACTGAAGTGCACATACATTTCTGGTAGGAGGGTGAAATGCTGTAACTTGTAAAGAAAAAAAACATGTTGCCCTTTTAAAAAATGTTTACAAATTTAAACATCTACTTACTCTATGATGTTTTTCTAGTATGGACCACAGAGAAATGAAAACAATTATTCATAAAAATAATTGTCCAGATATTTTTATTCCTACTATCCTACAACTAAAAATAATTCAAATGCTCATTAACAGGGTAGTGGATAATCAATTGTGGCTTATAATCATACAGTATAATACTACTCAACAGTAAAAAGCAGCGAAGTATTGATCCTCCAATAATGAGGATGAATCTCAAAGGAATGTTGAAGGAAACAAGACAGAAACAAACCAAAAAGTGTACATACTATAAGACTGAACTTGTATGAAGTTCATTCTACAGACAGAAATCAGAGCTGTTGCTACTGCTGTTGGAGTGGGCAGAAATTGACAAGGACCTGGCATTAGAGGCAGTTGTCAGATGGGGAACATGGACATTATATATTTGTCAAACTCACTGACATGCACAATGAAGAATAAAAATAAAGTGAATGAGCTAATGATAGGAAAAAATAATGGCCACAAAAGAAGAGATTTCTGTCTCCCCAGAGGATAGTGGAAGGAATGACTTACACTATCAATCATGAAAACAGTGGGAAGGTGACTTCCTGGCAGTTCCAAATAGAAAGTTTAGCATGTGATACCAGGACTTTATGAGATTTCTTGGCTATTGGTCACTCTAAGTTGGGAGGAGTGGCAGCACCGACTTGGGAGTTTAGATTAGTAACTAGATGATGCACAATTTATTTCCTCTCTGATTTATATTTATTTAGGAAAATGTTGTTCAGAAACAGTTTGAAAGCCAAATGGTAAGTTGAACACTAATGTTAAATCAAGCATCATCTCCTCTCTCCTCAGTTAGTATATTTGTGTCATATACATATCCCCTCCAAGTAGAATAATTCAAATTCCAGCAGATGGTTCCTGTCAAAGATATGGGTACCTAGGAAGAAAAAAGTGACGAGGAAAATATTAGTAAATATTTCATGATTATGAATTCAAGCTTCATTTCTCTCTCTCTCTCTCTCTCTCTGTCTCTGTCTCTGTCTCTCTCTTTCTCTCTCTGTCTGTCTTTCTCTCAATAAAACAAAGTTCTTATTTATATTGTGTCCAAAATTAGTTCTTATTTATATTGTGTCTTCATTGGCGATTCTAGGTGGGTTTGGTAAAGAGACTATAACTGTAAAGCCCTCATTACTGGGTCTTTCTCCATGTCTGTTGTGAGAATTTAAAGCCTACCTTCCCTCCTAATGGAGACATACATTTCATAAACAATGCTTTCATCAACCTTGTGACAGACTGGAGAAAAGTCCTCTAGGAGTTTTTTATTTTGAGAGCCCACTGAGGGCCTCTTCTTCCTCAAACCCATTAAGATTTTCTCCAGATAAAAATATTGTTAAATTAACATGAAATTAAACTAAGCCCTAAGCATGAATGTTTCTTAGTTGCTCTTCCAGTAAGCCTCTGGGCTCTCTTCCTTTAGCTGTTGTCTTGGCTTGGCATACCCATAGCTACTTTTTAGGGTGAGTACAGTGGCTCCTGATAAGCCTCACCTCTGCAGGGGGCACGTGGCCAAGCCCTGTGTGGCCGTTGCTCTAGGGGACTAGAGCTGTGCTCTATTCACTGTTCTCACTGCAAGTGCAGAGTTCAGTATGCTATAGCACATGTGCGCTGAATGAATGAACAAATAGATAATAAATCAAGGAGTAAGTGAAATAAGCACACTCATCTTTTGAAATTCATTTAGGTTTTCAGAAAAAGAGTTTTAAAAAAATCACCACTGACTAATTGTAGATATTCATGTAATGAAGAGTTTTCTTTTTAAGGAAAGTATTACAATCATTTTATTGACAAAAACCTATAGAGATTTAGTTTATAATCATTTATAATAATTAATGAACTTTATTTTTTATTGGGATGAATGAATTACCAAGTATGCAGTGAATACTTTTGCTTTTGGGACACCACAGGAGTCATCTTTTGTTTTGGGCCTGGGTTCAGCTGAGTTGTCTCTCAGCTACTGGACATAAGGGCATTTTCAACGACAAACTAAGGGGCTTAGTATGAACACATAATATGTTTATCTGGCTTTTGTAAAGAGGATTATTATGTCTAACAGTGACACATTGCCCGATATTTAGTTTGAGGCCATACTCACGATCAGCTGAATGGTCAACATATGTCTGGCTACCCTAATTTTTTTCCTCAGTAGAAATGGGGTTGTTGGTAGATAATACAATACAGTCTGTGGTTCATAATGGGACTTTTTTTATATCATAGGTGGGTAGTTTCAACTCCAAAGCCACATTTTAAGACTTCTGGCCAACAAAGAGGATGTCTTTCAGGACACGGGGCAAAAGCCAGGCTGCTTCACTGTACCAGGTTACAATATCCAGTGTGTTATTCAGTCACTTATATGTGATTTCTTGATGAGACTCAGCTATCTAGGGTCTCAGTTAGCTGTAAGTTTTATCACTATAGTATCCTTACGTCTTCGAATTTGTGAGCAAATAATACAGTCAAATGAAGGAATAAATAAGTAAAATAGGATAAATAACACACGCCAGTGGTATTTCCTTAAGCTCTCCCTTTTTCCGCTGATTCCTACTCCATGGCACTAAAAATAATTTCTCTATTCTGATATTTAAGAAGTTAAGCATGTGGTGTCATATCTGGAAGTTCTTACATTATTTGCATTCCACTTATTATATACTTAAGTATATAATCATGTTCATAGACTGTCAACTTCTTTGTGCAAAGGAAGTATTCCTAACTTCCCTTTACATTTTCTACAGGC